TGGAAGACATCTTCAGCAGCCTGGACATGGAGGTGCCACTGCAGCCCCTGGGCCAGGCCAAGAGCTTGGAGGACCTTCGAACTCCCAAAGACCTGAGGGAACAGTCGGGGACCTTTGACTATCAGGTACGGTGGGGGCAGGGGCGGGGGCGGGCCTGCTGGGACTGGAGCTTTCACACCTGCCGCAGGTCCCCCACGTGCAAGAGGGAGAAACTTTTCCAAGGCCCTCGGCCAATGCTCAGGGTCAGTCTCACTGCAAACCCTGTCAGGAGGGCCAGCGGCCACCGCCCCTCAGTGATCACTGGGGAAGATGCTAAGCCTGATGGAAGTTGGCCCCACTGCCATCTGTGCACCAGAGAGAGGTGGCCGGTGCCCCAGGCCGCTCTCCCAGCACCCCACCAGGGAAGGCTCCCGGAGAGACTGGATCAGAACTTATGGGTCCTGGATTATTGGTGTGCAACCACTGGTCTTCCACTGTGACCTGCACCCTGTCACATCCCCCCTCCGTGCCTGTTTCTTCACTGGCCCATGGGGGCTGCTGACTGGGTCACAGGGTGGAACTCACTGAGCTCCCGCGTATCCATGACTCACATGCGCCCCTCAGGCCAAGAGAAGGGAGGTGAGGCCAGGCCGTGGAGCTGGGGAGTGGTTGAGTGGGGCCTTGAGCCCAGTCCCATCCCCCCAGCCAGTGTGCCCTCGCCCAGGCCCTAACCCTCACTCGCCCTCCTGGGCTCACAGGTGACTGAAAGTGCCCACACGCTTTGAAAAGTAAAAAGGGCCCGACCAGGTGATGGTCAGTGAATGGAGTCATTTTTCCCAAAACTACTTGGCAGCCCCAGCATAAAGGGACAAGAGGACCCTTCGCGCCGTGCAGAGCCTCTGGGCTTGGAGTCCAGCCTGCCCGGGGCTCTCTGCTGGTGACCAGGGCGCAAAAATGGGGGGGCCCGGGGGGGGGGGGGGGGGGCCTGAGCCCCCAGCTGCTCTGAGTCCCAGGCGGCTAATCCCGGCCCCTGCCCAGCACACAGGAGGGGTGGGTGGGGGTGTGCTGCCTTCCCGTCTGTCCTGTCAGCCTGTGGTCACTGCCTCCCCTTCCCTCCGACAGAGGCTGGACCTGGGCAGGAGTGACCGGAGCCGCGGGATGCCGCTGGCCTTGAGGCTCGCTCACCCGTACAACAAGCTCTGGAGCCTGGGCCAGGACGACATGGCCATCTGCAGCAAGCCCCAGGCCCCCTCTCCCGAGAAGCCCTCAGCCCTGCTCGGGAACACCCCGGCCCTGCTTCACAGACCCCAGAACCGGGACAGCATCCTGGACCTCGGCGACAAGGAGGCGGCACCCGCCCCTACTCCGGGCAGTATCACCATTCCCCGGCCCCAGGGCAGGAAGACCCCGGAGCTGGGCATCATGCCCCCCACTCCCACTGCCCGCC